TTCCATTCGGGTTTGAGAGACCTCAGGAAGCGAAGGTTAACTTCCATGTTGGTTTTCCGAATGTTGATCTTCTTCATCTCATTAAGAACCATCAGAAAACGTTGATAGGTATTTTCCAGCTCCTCATCAAATCTGGCATGAAAGAATCATAAGCGGTTAGGGTATGAGCTCTTTTGGATTTAATTCCAACATCAGTGCCTTGCATAATCTGATGAATTTCATCCCACGAGTCCTTAGCAGTGCGGAGACTATCAATTTGCATTAACAGGTCATTGGGGATGGCTTGGAGCAGATATGTGGCAGCTAGAAGATCAACTTTTGCTCTGAGTTTTTTGGCTTCAAATCAGTGTAGTCTTCTTCACTTTTCAAATTCCTTTGAACAGGTGTGGGAGGGTTAAATGTAGTGTTTTCAGGAACTACAACCCAGACCTCGATGGATCCTTCTTCCAGAGACTTGAGAATATTCTTCCCGTTGTCCCTACTTTTGGTGAAGTTCAAGAATATGACTTTTCATACTGTGAATTCTCCTCTTCTGAGTAGAGGAGGTCTGGAGTCACTTCCAAGAGTATAAGCTTCCATGACTGTTGTTGATCTTATGAGGCGAGAATTGTTGTATAGAAAGAAAAGATTTCGAAGGCTGGTCTTAGAAGAATTTGGTGCTGCTTTGAAATGATTTCAGAAAGGCTGATTTCGGAACCAAATCTCGGATGCTGAATTCGGAAGATGATCTCAGGTCAGCTGACAATTTCGGATGAGAGCCGAAGTTTGTGATTTCGGGGACAAACTCGGATGGTCTTCGAATTCAGATTTCGGATGAGCAAAATCTTAAAAGGATCTGAGATCTTCACTTGCTAAAAATAGATTTTGGATGTGCGAAAAATTAAGTAACCAAATCTAACTGGGATACTTCTTCTGTAGCTTTCCTTGAAGCAGCAGCCTTCTAAAATTAATCAAATTACCAAGAACAGATCTAGAGATTAACTCAATCAAAAATTGTGATTTTGATCAAATTAATTCTAGAAAAATTCACGGAATCAGATGAACAGAGTTGCGCAGGCTCTGATACCAATTGTGTGAACGTAGCCCATATACAACAGTCGAATAATCTAAGAATAATAGAAAGAATTTAAATAGTAGAAGAGAAATTCAACATCAACTTATACCGTGTATTAAGAATGATGAATCCATGAAGAAATACACAGTACTCGAACAAGCTAGAGAGAGAATTTCTGATCTACGTGCTCTACCAAAATAGTATGCGGAGTAGAATGTGTAGAGACTTAGAGCTGATTTCGACCAACTCCTTCTGTATTTATAGGGAGTAGTTCGGTCAGCCCTATTACAATTAGGAAACAACAGCTTAGGCGTGTGGGCTTAATTAGAGCAAGATTAAATGAGCCTAATTCTCTCTCAGCTAAACTAGTTAAATACAAACACTCATTAAACAAATTACAAATAAATTGAACACAATAAATAATTATTCTAACAAGTCTAGTGGGTGAATTTTTTTTCGCTAGTGTAGTGGAGCGAAACTTTCTTTGCTAGTGTATCAGGGCGATTTTTTCAATAGTGTAGGACTTTGCAGCTAATTTTTATTCAAAGAGAACTCATAGATACATACATGATGACATTTAAATATATTACATTCTAAGTTTAAACAATGGAGAAATAACTTTGATTTTATAAATGTATGTGCTTTAGAAAAGAGTATTGATACATTAAAGCGTAAAAAATAGCAAATCAAAGAAAAATTATTTGAAACTAAAAGAGGATCTATAACATTTTATCAAATTAAATTATTTGAAAGTAAAGAGTTTAAAAGGTGCACAACCACCAATGCTTTTTAAATAACTCTTGCCATGTTTAATCACATGAATCTTATCGGTACAAGGAATTGATTTTTGAATTGCAAATTTTGTATACCAAGAAGGGTGTTCGTGACTCATGAGGAGTTTTGCTAATATTACAGTACTATGTTTGAGATTATTATTTTTAGAATAATATTATATTACTAATTCGTATATATGGTGCATATTAAATTTGTATTAATGCCTAAAATAAATTATCTAAAAACTAAGAAGTAAATGAATTGCGTAATTTTAAATTCACTTCGCATGATCTAAAATTGTTTAACTAGTGTGTCTCGTATTTAATATTGTTTGATATTTTACAAATCGAATACTAATTATCTAAGAAGTTAAAGATAAATAAACATTTCAAAACTATGAATTTTTATATAATAGGTATTCTAAATCTTAAAGAATGAGTTGTTCTATTATTTATTTGTTTAAGTTATATAAATTATTTTAGATGTTTTGTCTTTTTACTCTCCAATTAAGTATTACATAAGGTATGGCTATATATTAATTTTGAAAACTAAAAGTTAAGGGAGACGAACACACACACACACACACACACACACACACACACACACATATATATATATATATATATATATATATATATATATAATTAAAGTACAAATTTTTATGAAAATATTACATATATAGTAGAAAAATTTGAAAGTCCAAGGGGGCGACCCCCCCCCCCCCCCCCCCGCGCCCCCCCTTAAATCTATCCTTGAGCTCCAGCGTTGTTTCCTCTCCGAATTTGATGGTGCTTCATTCATGAAAGTTGTATCTAATGAAGTCCTATATCCATCACAACTTACAAAACTGGATTTGGATTATCCAATCAAACGATATGAATAAAATGGTGAAAGATCGTATCTTGAAATCTCAACAGAGATTACCTAACTTCCTCGTCTGTTTTCGCCTTGCTACTCTCCGATTCTCGTAATGGTGTCATCATATGATTTGTAGCCCTTGAAGTTAGCTTTCATATGGAACTTGAATCGTGTACATTGGATATTTCTACAAAAAGATATGCTTGACCGATTGACAGAAGGTCATCCTGAACGCTGTTTTCAAGCTCTATTCGTCTTCTTTTGATGTCGTAGCCAATCTTAGAGCTCTTTTATCATCAAATCTTCATCGTGAACCTCCCGGTGACCTCCAAAGCTCTCAAATCTCACTCAAATGCTCATTAACTCGTCCCGAATGCTTCTCAAGCGCGGGTGCTGGACTCTAATTTCCTGATTTTGACTCCAAAAATACCATAGCTCGAACCAACACCCGGTAAACATAACTTGAGCTAACGTTGAGACTTATAACACCTTAAAGCTAGGAAAACCAACAGAAGTCGATCCAAACATGTATCAAATGCGTGTTGTTATACGAACTTATCAAACCACAACATGTGGAACATTAGTAAAGATGATTTTGGGAGTGGAAAATATTGAAATACTATAATTTGCCAAGTTGTTGCTTGATGAGCTTTAATTGATATCAGCTTTGTTAGAAGACTTAGATGTAAATGCAAATAGAGAACTAAAACATTATTTAAATTTAAAACGAAATATCAGTGCTTTAGTTTTTTTAGTCTAATCTTTAAAATTTTATTATAATTCAAACTTTTTGGTTCTATAATTATTTTATTTATGAACCTCTGAATTATATATATTCGTTGTCGTACCTGTATCCTATAAGTTTTGAAGTTGTTGTATCGCCGTACCCTTATTTGTGTATCGGTGTATCTGTATCCGTGCAGCATAGCCGTCAGGGACAGATTTATCATGTTTTCTTTTGGACTGAAATTTGATGGTCTGATCTGGTCTGAACTGGTTTGGTCTGATAAATGTTTGGTCTCTGTGTATTTTATAACTACGCAAGTCCGGTCTGGTGTTGTCTGATCTGGTCTGGTTTGGAACTGAAAACAATCTAAAAGAAAATATCCTTAAGGGGGCATGATCGCTCCACTTGGACTTTCAAAATTTTCTATTATATACGTAGTAGGTGACATTTGCATAAAATGTTCATACTTTAATTTGATATGTTATGGATATGCTCGCCCTCCTTAACTTTTAGTTTAAGTAATTGTCCTATATAGGACTAAAACTAAACTTAATTCCCTAAATAGGACTCACAGTTTTTAATTCCCCAAATAGGACTCTGGATAACCATTATGCTCTCCTATATAATAACATCGATCAAAACCATGATTCCATTTCCAATCTATCTCACGAACATCTGCGGCTCTTCAATCTCCTACGCAGCAAGCGTTGCTCACAGATACCTTTGCAGCACTCCTACGCCGAGGCATGGAATTCGCCCCTCCGACGATTATACACCTCTTTGGCACCATCGCCGCTTTCATCTTCGTCGATTCCAGGTTCCTCCTACTCCTACTCCTCCTCCTTCTTTCCTCTTTGTCTTCTTTATCTTCGTCTCCCTCTTCTCCTTTTGTTCTTCTTTTTCTCTAATCTTCCTGGTTAATAACATGTTTCCCTCACTAATTTAACTGATTTTTGGTAAAAAGATTTTTGTTTCATGAACATTTTTGGAGTTGGTGATAAGTCTGATTTGTTTGTATATTTTCACTCACTTTTTATAGCGTTTCTTGTCAAACTCGAGGCAAAATTTTACATTTTTCTGCGTTTTTGTTGCATTTTTGTTAATGTTTGAAATTAGTGTTGAAATTTACATTTTTTTAGTGATCGGTGTTTATTTCTAGTGTTTGGATTGATTTTTGTGTTTTTTCCACTAATTTGTACTTTTTTTATTTTGTGATTTGTTATATTTGAATTTGATTTCTTTTAGTGCAATAAATAAATGAATTAATCAAAAACAAACAAACAAAATTATAAAACCCCAAAAAAATGCAGCAAGGCTGCGTTACAAAAAACCCAAGCAAATAAAAGAAAAACAAACAAAATAAAAGAAAAGGAAAAGCAACAAAAAAAAACAAAAAAAAACAAAAGAGATAAGAGGGAGTCGGCCAAAACAAAACATGAGAAGGGTCGGGAGTCCCATCTTTGGACCAAGAGAGAAGAGATGTCAATGGGCAGCTGGTTGTCTAATTAATAGTCAAAGAAAAAATAGGAAGGCATTTCCTACTTGGCTACTTGTCGGCAGTAGGGAAAAAAGAAGGAATTGAGCCGCAGAAACAATACACGCCCCAGCTCTAGTTTGCAGGAGGCAAAAGGATGGAACTGGAAAGAATTCATCCGCCATCACTCAGCCGCAAGTAGCTCCGGGCTGGAAAAAATCTGAACTGCTAGGAAGAAGAACCGAGCTCAAAATACTCTGGTTAATCTTTTGTTATCTTTCAATTTTAATTCTAATTTCATGCTTAGATTCAAACTTCAATAAGCTTTCAGTTTTAATGACTGTATTATTTCACTCTGAATTTCTGTTTACTTGGATAATTGAGTTGTTAATGATGTTTATTTACTGTTTAATTTCATCTACAAATTACTCTAGTTGTTTTATTAATAGTGTTAGTTTCATGATAATTATGTTAGGCTAAATTTCCATGGGGTTTAGATTTGGATAGAATTTAAGTTAATGGGTGTTCTTGAATATTGAATTGAATTTGAGAAGTCTCCAATTTTTAGGACTAGTTGTTTGAGATGAAATTTAAAGAGTAATTTGTGAAATTGATCACTTCACTTGTTAATTTTTAGAAGATTAATTCTTTCTTGTCTATGAGTTTAGAATTTAATTTAGCTCATATCTCACACACCTTAAACTAAGCCTAGAAATAGGACATGTTAGGGGAATTAAAATCAAGTTCTTGTCTATGAGAATTAATATATCACTATTCTTAAATTGGAGAAAATTTCACATATTTGTTCATAATTCAAATACACCCAAGATCCTTAATCCCAAATCTAGACCCCACTTTTAATTAGTTAATTTTTCGTTACTAGTCACATTGAATTTACCTTTTAAGTATTTTATTTTCGAAACTTTACTCATCCACATGTTTGCTAGTTTAATATTTTTTATTAGTTAATATTCTCTCTCAAGTTATTTTTCATGTTCACTAGTTTTAGTTTACTCATTAATGTCATTTAATTAAATTCTCCGCTACTACTTTTGTTGTTTAATTTTATTTACTTAATCATTATCACAATTAATCGTTTGAGAAAGCTTGCAACGATTCGTACTAACCGGTGACCGATATTGAAACCAACACTTCCCTCCGCCACTCCTCAGAGACACGATACTTGGGGAAAAACCGAAAGGTTAGACTCCGTTTTACTACAACGCCGCGAAAGCGATTATCAGTTGGACATCGACTTTTCTGTTTTGTAGACATCGGCTTTAGGTTTCTGATTTCTAATGTCGTTAAATTTCCAATTTCAATAAAAATTCGTATTTTTCAGATTCGGAATATCGGTTTTACATTTTTGCCAACTTTTTGGCAGTTTCATGTTGTACTCAATATTATATTATGGCAAAAAAACTTTTATTTTAAACTTTAAATTTATTGCCAATCTTTTGGCAAAATTGACCAATATATTATGGAAGATTTCGTGGTTGAAATTTCTAATTTCAATAAATTTCTAGTTTCATTAAAAACTCTGGTTTTTCCAGATTTGGGTGTTGAGTTCATTTTTTGCCAAAATTTTGGCAGTTTCATGTAATACATTATGACAGAAAATTTGTATTTTGACATCGATTTAAAAGTATTGCAACTATATGGCATATTTGCATATGATATTATGGCATAAAAATATTGTGTTCTTCAACGAATTGCCAAATATAATGATAGGAACTGTCAACATTGTGTTTAGTTTTTCATAAAAGATGGTAGAATTATGTTTTTATGTTGTCAACATATTGTTTTGCAGCATATTGGCATTTTCGCAACCGGCGGTGATGGCGCCAGCAGTGGTGTCGGAAGTGACGGCAGCGCCGGCGGCGGAAGTGGCAACGATGGCGTTGGAAGTGGAAGCGTCGGAAGTGGTTGCGGCATTATTTGGAGTGCTAGAGGCGGTTGTGGAATCTAGGATTTTAGATAGCTTGTTTATTTTTTGATTTTTAATTGTAAATAGATTTAGAAATTCATTAAGGGTAATTTTGTAAAGTCAATACATTTTTAGTCCTATGAAACATGGAAATCCTATTTGTGCATTTCTTCAAAGTTTTAGTCCTATTTAGGGAATTAACTCTTTTAGTTTTCAAAATTTTAATATATAGCATCACATAAAATAATACTTAATCGGATATTTAAAAGGAGAAAATTCTAAAATAATTTATCATTACTTGGGCAAATAAATAATAAAACAACTCAACAACTCATTGATTTAAAATTCGGAATACTTATTATATAAAATAATCCTAGTTTTGTAATGTATAATTTATCTTTATTAGATAATGAGTACTCGATTTTGTAAAATATCAAATGATATTAAATACCAGACACACTAGTTAAGAAAACAAATTTTAGATAGTGTGATCTGAATCTAAAATACAAATATTTGTGTGACATTAAATTACACAATCCATTTATTTCTTACTCTCTAAAAAGAACTTATTGCACAGATAATAAACTTTAACTCATTTTAGCATTAATACAAATATAATACTATTGTAATACTACTTGTGACTTACAAAAGGTTAAAAATATACGCAACTGTCGGACTGATCAAAAGGTTTGCGTATCGGCGTATCGGTTTATCTGTATCCATATTCCATATTGCCCAATTGGTGCCCAACTGTCGGACTCCACTACACCACACCACCAGTATCGCATGTGCATGTGGAGAGCGATTTAGAATCACTTACATCATCAGAATAGTCTTCTCCTTCTTGGTCGGGGATCGCAACATCACCCTTTTCAACTATGGACATCAAAGTCAAGTTCTCTCCTTCTTCATTTGAGGAATCATCCAGCCAGTGATCTTTCTCTGCCAACAATGCAGCACTCTTATCTTCCAGCTTAGCCATGAACATTTTCTGCTTATTGAGGAGCATGTAGTTAAAGTCCCTCCTTTTTAGCAGGTGGCAATCTTTGATGAGATGCCCGACTTTTCCGCAGTCAAAGCATTTTGGAGTTTCAATTCCTCTATTGCAGCTGCCTTTTGAAAGACAATCAGATCATTGTTCTTTTGCTTATAGTTCAAGGAAGAAGTTATCAGCTTATTAGAAGAGTTGTTCTTTTTGAAGAACTTCTTATTGAACTGATTCGTCAGCAAAGTCATCTTCTTGTTAAATCCATCCTCTTATTGAATGTTTATCGCCATGTTCGACTTATTCACTTCAGAAAAATGTTGTTTTTCTGAAGTTCGAAATCCTCTAGTGCGAATAACCTATTCTTCGAGATTTTCCAGCAATATTTCTTGTTCGAAAAACTCTACAGATGTTCGAAAACACCTGTTTTCGAAGAATAATATCGAAAAATCGAAATCTTCAAATCATCAGAAACCGAAAATGAAGATACACTTGGTGCAATTTCAACAGTACATCTATCTTAGTTTTTCGGGCAAAAACAAGAATACAGCATCAAAAATTCGAAAATTGCGAAAAAACGAAGAAACAGAGTATTTCGCAGCCGATCTTCACTCGTTGGCTCTGATACCAGTTGTTGGTCCCTATTTTGTGAAATTATCTAGCAGCTATGGATGCACAGATATGAAATACAGATTGAGAAGAATATCATTATAATGATCTAGCAGATTTCGAATAGATGAATATTCTCTCTTTCTATATATCAAAAAACTCATAGTGCGGCTATTGTATGTGTGCGTGAAAAAACTTAAATTGTACACTCCTAAACGCATATTTATATGTGTAGGGTGTACATCATCCCATAAAAGGGCCTAACCTAGGGAATTAGGCCTTATACATAAATGGTCTTTTTCCTTAATAGACTAATATATTTATTACAGTTAAATACCATAAATAGCTAACTAAACAAGACTATTTTTTTAACAACTTGATCACAATAAAAATATCTTCGACAGACTCTTTTGAAAAATGGCATTTTAGTATTAAAAAAATAGCGGTTTGACCCCTTTTAGCGTTTTAAATAAATGAAAATGATGTTTGGTAAATAGTTGTCCAGTGCTAGCGGTTTTGAACCGAACCGCTAATATGAAAACGCTGCAAATAGAAATGTTTTGGATTAGCGTTTTAGAATATGGTCAAACAGCTAAATTACCAAGCATTTTCTAGCAACCCGCCAACGTATTGCGCTAGTCAAATCCGCTGACTGAATCCGCTTTTTACAACCCGCTAACATAATCTGTCATTTGCTAACTGCTAATCACTAAATGCCAAACATGTTGGAAGTATGCCCTAGGACAATCATACTTTATGATTTATCGATGAATATTTAATGCTCATTAATTAATAAAGTCACAAACTCATTTTATGTTAATTATTATTGTGAGTTTTCTTTATTAATATTTAGTCCCTGAATATTATGTTTAGTAGCTAATTAAGTACGTGACTTAATTGTGGAATGCTACACTTTAAAATAAGCATAATATTCTAATTGTTCATTGTCTAATATTATTAATCTGGGACATTGATAATTAATAGACCATTATGTGAATTAACTGATGGCTATATTCCACTAGTCATGGGTATAGAGATATCAAGTTAATAACATAGATGCTTGTTAGTGAACAAGTTCATTGGACAGACCCAACTTGAGGACACTGCTAGGTTTCATGTCATCAGTATTGTCCTCAATAATGATGAGGTGCTATATTCTTATACTTGAGATAATCATGGTTACTTGCATGCGAATTAATATGTATTAACACCATTAAATATTACTTTAAATGGGTAATTATAAAGGTGATGATTGTACATAATATGAACCATGTAGTGGTATGTGAATTATCAAGATAGTTTTTGTCACTCTCGTATAGCGAGAGAAAGATATCTATTGGGCCCCTTGACAAGTAAGATTAATTAGCATGGCCATGCTCAAATGAGGTGTCATTTGTTCAAAATTAATCTTACTTGGTAATCAAGAAATATTAATTGAGAATAACAAGGATGACATGACCTAACCTTGTCTCAATTAAGATATCGTTTGACAAAAGAGAATTATTAGCACAAATTAATCATTAAAAGGTTATGTCAGATTTAATTGACATTTATATATTTTAGATAGTCATAACGTCTTGCTAGAGGCCGCTTATGATTTGTGAGGTTTGAATTAATTTTATGCCCTAGGACAAGGGATTCAAGAAGCCTGGAAAAGGCAAGGTTGGTGGAAACAAGAAATCCAAAACTCTGGTTAAGAACTCGGGTAAAGGCAAATCTGTTGCCAGCTCTACTTCTAAAGAAGAGCAAAATGTTTCCACTGCAACAAAACCGGTCATTGGAAGTGGAATTGCAAGGCGTATTTGGAAGAACTGAAAAGAAAGGGGCATGGTGATGCTTCCAATTCAGGTATCTATGTGATAGAAGTAAATGTTACTACTACTACTTCATGGGTATTAGATACCGGTTGTGGTTCTCACATTTGTTCAAATGTGCAGGGACTGACAAGGAGTAGAAGGATGGCTAAAGGTGAAGTTGACCTACGAGTAGGCAACGGTGCAAAAGTTGCAGATTAGCAATAGGAACATTTACTTTAAGTTTGCCCACAGGCTTAGTTTTAGAACTTGATAATTGTTATCATGTACCTGCCATTAGTAGGAATATAATTTCTGTTTCTTGTTTGGACAAGAAAGGATTTCATTTTATAATAAAGGACAACACTTGTTCTATTTTTTTAATGAGATCTTTTATGGTAGTGCTAGTCTTATAAATGGACTTTATGTTCTAGACCTTGAAATGCACATCTATCACATAAATACAAAAAGGTTTAAATCTAACGACTCAAACCCAACATACCTTTGGCATTGTAGACTAGGCCATATAAATGAGAAGCGCATTAAAAGACTCCATTCTAGTGGATTTCTTGACTCTTTTGATTTTGAATCAATCCAGGAGTGTGAATCTTGTTTATTAGGTAAAATGGCCAAGTCAAAGGTGAAAGAGCTCACGGTTTATTGGACCTCATACACTCGAATGTATGTGGCCCAATGTCAACAATGGCCAGGGGAGGTTTTCAGTACTTCATAACATTCACTGATGACTTCAGTAGGTTTGGTTATGTGTACCTAATGAAGCATAAACATGAAGCTTTTGAAAAGTTCAAAGAATTCCAGAATGAAGTTCAGAATCAACTTGGCAAAACAATAAAGGCCATTCGATCAGATCGAGGTGGTGAATATTTGAGTCAGGAATTTAGTGATCATCTAAGAGGTTGTGGAATTGTTTCACAACTCACTCCGTCAGGTACACCACAATGGAATGGTGTGTCCGAACGGAGAAATCGGACCTTGTTAGACATGGTTCGTTCCATGATGAGTCTCGTTGAACTACCAATCTCTTTCTGGGGTTATGCTCTTGAAACTGTTGCATTCATACTCAATAGGGCTCCAACAAAGGCTACAGAAAGGACACCATATGAGATATGGACAGGAAAAGTTCCTAGTCTAACCTTTGTGAAGATTTGGGGGTGTCAAGTTTATGTAAAATGTTTACTTTCAAATAAGCTTGAGCCCAAATCAGATAAGTGTTTATTTGTGGGATATCCTAAGGAAAAAGGATATTACTTTTACAACCCATCAGAGAACAAAGTGTTTGTTGCTCGTAATGGTATTTTCTTAGAAAGAGAATTTCTTTCTGAAAGAACCAGTGAGAGTAAAATACAGCTTGAAGAAATTCAAGATGTTCTAGATAGTCAGACTATGCAAGCAGTCCCACAATCTCAACCACAAGTTGTTGTGGATACACCTGAGGTAGCACTCGCTCCAAGGAGGTCATCTAGGGTACGTAACGAGCCAGTTAGATACATGTTTATCTTAACTGAGCATCGTGACGTATTATTAATAGACGAAGATGAACCTTTGACCTACCAAGAAGCAATATCGAGCCCTCACTCTGATAAATGGCTAGAAGCCATGAAATCCGAAATGAGATCCATGGTCGACAATCAAGTCTGGGACTTAGTTGATCTGCCTGATGGTTGTAGAACCATTGGGTGCAAATGGATCTACAAAAAGAAATTAGACAAAGATGG